AAAAAATGTAGTTAGAGACATCGGATCTTTTTGAAATTTTAACACAATATTTCTACATATATATACATTCGAAAAATGTAAAAAAAAAAAAAAAAATTTTTTTTTAAAATTGCAGAGTAGAAGGTCCCCTTAAGGAATTTTTTCCTATAACATCTGCTCAACACAGCTCAGCACAGTTGAACCAAAACGGTCACCTATCAAAGTACTTAACTTTAGTAATTGTATGGGAACTAGTTTTTTCAACGAAGAGAAGCCATTCACAAATATACTTTTATTGTAGTAATCTAAGATTTGTTATGAACTATGTCATTTATATTTGTAAATATAATTGTTTACCATTAATATGTATATTTCTCATATTTTTTTATCCCTATTTTCCAGTGATGTCATTGTATATTTCCATTATTATTTAAATAATATAATATATTATTGACTTGTTTATATTACTAATGTAATATTTACATTGACCAAACAATATACTTTTATTTTAGGTTTGAAAATAGATGTTGCGAAAACTACCAGCATTCGTATCAAATCAGAAGTTTTGTTTTTATACGTTAATCCGACATTACAATAAAACACCTACCATGACTGACCTAAAAGCTGATAAAATTGGCTTGCCATTGAAAGAAATTTTGGATGCGTTAAATAAATTTGCAAATACATCTTTAGCTGAATCCTGGGATAATGTTGGATTACTGATCGAACCTACATATCCAAAGGACGTAAAAAATATTTTGTTAACAAACGACTTAACAGAAAGTGTCTTGAATGAAGCGCTAGACTTGTCAACGGATATGATTATTTCGTATCATCCTCCAATATTTTTACCACTTAAATCTATAACTATGAAAACATGGAAGGTAACAAAAAAATCGTAGTTATTGCTACGATCGATTGATAAGTTAAATGTATTTGATTTTATTTGTTTACATAGGAGCGTATAGTCGCAAAATGTTTAGAAAATAAAATAGCCGTATATTCTCCACATACTGCATTTGATTCAATAAAGGGAGGCGTAAATGATTGGTTGGCTTCAGCTTTCAATAATGGTTAAAAATATAATACTTTTATAATATTTTTATTATGATAATATTAATAATTAATTATAATCCGTAATGTGTGTTTACAGTGATGGATAGTAGTAAACCGATAAAACCAAGTGAGAATATAGAAAATGGTATGGGTCGTCTATGCATTTTTAAAGAGAAAGTACATATAGACGAAGCAGTGCGTCTTGTAAAACAACATACTAAATTGAAATTTGTAAAGCTAGCCCGTACTCCGAAGTCAGGTATAACATTATCTTTACAAAATGTTAATTAAAAATTAAAGATATTACAATTGATTATTTATTTTTTCAGATGGGTTTATAAATTCTGTTGCTGTATGCGCAGGATCAGGATCAAGCATTTTAAAAAATGTACAAGCTGATTTATATCTTACAGGAGAAATGTTACATCATGATGTACTCGATGCAATTCATAATGGAATTTATGTTATTTTAACAAATCATTCTAATTCCGAACGTGGTTTTCTCGAAAGTTTTGCATCAACATTATCAAATGCATTAAATAATTCTGTAAATGTTAATGTATCTACCGTTGATGTTGATCCTTTGGAAATTGTATAATTTAAAATGTGTTCTTTGGTGAAACAATTATTTCATATAATAATTTCATTATTTCATATATAATTATGTATATACTTTTTTTTGGATAACAAATATTATGGTATTATACATTCATATTTTCTTGAAGTATTTATTTCAAAAGAGACAGATAAACATATTGTCAAATATAAAGTAAATGTCGATGTAATTATATATTTCTATGTGTTGTATATATAATAATTTTATGGATTTTTCCTATAAACCAGGGCTTATCAAAGTGTAGGGTCGCAGAAATTTGAACAAAATTAACAAATTCGTGAAAGAGAAGATAGTATAGAGTTTATATCTAGAGTTGCGAAAATTTTTGCTTAAATAAAAATGATTGTCGCCAAGTGGAAAAGTTAGAGAAGCCCTGATATAAACCAATTGCATTAAAATGTACACACAAAACTAGCTTAATAATACAAACATACTAAATGAGATATATATGTTAATACAAAATACACCATAAATTGGTAAATAATGTTTTGGCAAAATGAATAATAGAAATGATTATGAATTTAAAAGTTATAAAAAGAATATATATTTTATTTTCTTTCACGGCATTTATTAGCCTACCTAATATCAAATTTAATGACTACACTATAAAAGTAACGTTGTGTGTGTGTGTGCCCAAATGTAATACATCATTAAGGAATATATAATAAGTGTAATATTGATATGTAATTATAAGTAAAATATAATGATAAATTGGTTACTTGACATCAATTATTTCGTAAATTAACTATAGTTTGCTTAATAAAGCATAGATATGAAATTTCTCACTAAGAAGGATATTGTAAACTACTGATTTAAACTTTGCATCAAATTTGAATATTTTCTTATCGTATATACACTCAAATATAATTTTATAAATAATTTGTTCTTTATCTCGTAGATTCTAATAAATAAAATCTAATTCATCTATTTATTTTTAAATAAAAGTGCACTATATTGAGATATTGCACATTCAGAAAGCTTAATAACAATTTTTACAGCATATTTCGTATAATATGAATCAATAATCACATCATTTGATTTTTATACGATCTAATATATCTATAAGGTATAACGCATCACACTGGATAATAAAATAAAATAATTTTTTATCCAAAATAATAATCCAATAAATTTTCCAATATGAAAGATAAAGATTCTCGTCTATAAAATAAATTATGTTTCGTTAATATTTGTCTTCTTGTCATTTTTACTTTATCTTTTACAAGTTCGAGACATTTTTCTATTAATACCTTCTCAAACTTACTTAATATTACCAAATAAGTCGTTAACTATTTTTTCTCACATTTTACAGAAAAGAAACAAAAAGAAAATAATAAACTATTGCATGTACAATAGATGGTAGATATGTACATTGTCAATGTGTACATATACTTGTTCGAATTAAAAAAAAAATTACTAAATAAATATATTATATGATATGTAAAGTCAAATCAAAATTATACATATGTATGCATATTCCTTAAATTATAAAGCGAATGGAAAAAGTTGTACATACAAAAAAATAAATGAAATTAACCTTTTGCCTTATAGTTTAATTTGCAAGAATCAAAAATAACGATGGGACGAGTAGAGCTACTGTGGTTGTTTATATAAAAGGCAATGATATAATACTGTGCAGCTTTTATGCACTTATTTTTTTTTTAAATTAAACATTAAATATGATTGTTTTAATTACCTTTAAATATTTATTTTTAATGCTTTCTTATACTCGTGTGTGTCGAGATGACTCAATGAATTTGTATAAATTCATAATATTAGTATATATAAATATTAGTAATATTTAAGATTTTATAATCCAAATAAAAAAAATACTAGTAATAAGAAAATACTATAATTTGAAAGTTTTATGGCGCGCTCTGGGAATATGTGGTGGGGTGAATAGAGAGCGCCGTATAGCACATGCTAGCTCATTTCTAATATCCCTACCACAAAGCTTTGCTCATTACTCTTATATTTGTCGTGAAGTCCGTTCCACGGTTCTTTCTTGGTATTCTAAAGACAAGAGGTTGATAATCTATTATCAAGAAAAGATGTAAAGTTTAAACAGTTGTAAATTGTGATCATGTATAAAAGATCTAGTAACGATCTTCGTCTTCTTCGTCCATCACGAAGTCACTACTTATTCCGGAATCTAATACATAAAGGGGACTGAAAAATAAGGTATATATTAATATAAATATAAATATAAATATATATATATATATATATATATATATATATATATATTTTTTTTTATTTTTCTATATATCGTTTATTATGAAAATGGTGTAAATTTATTTGTGAAAAAATTATTTTATTTAATTGTAAATAAAACATGAAAATTATATTTTCTCAATTTTTTATCAAAAATGAACTTATGCCAATTTCATTACAAGCAATTCATATATTCAAAATAAATAATTTTTTACTTACTTAATTGCCCTGCACGTGAAAAAGACAATACGTTTCATTTTTTTATTGTAAAAGAAATAATTAAAAGACCACAGGCATCCATCTTCTCCAAATGGATCTGATGCAAAGTCTGGATTATAGCTACAATATTTGTACGTGTTATATTATTTATGTATTTATTTGAAGCAATGCTGCAGTTTACCACTCTCTTTCAGATCTGATGTTTTATTGAATATAGGAAAGCATTTTCATATAACCTCACCTATAAATATCACATTCGCTCAATGATATTTCATCATCAATAGCACCCCAAAGAGCGGAACGTAAAGTACGATAATGATCCCCAGCAGTTGCACTAAGATTACTATCAACTGCATTCATTACCCACTGTAAGCTTGGCTCTTTACTAAATTCATGACTCTTGGCATCAGAAAAATCATAATCAGGATGAAAAGCTGAGTTTAAAGTTGCAATCAGATAGAATAATGTTTTTCTGCTTATTGTATCGCATAAAGGTCCATCTTCGTCACCAGAAACACTATGACTAAATATATAAATATACAAATAATGTTAACTTATGAATCAATCAAGTATAAAAGAATATTAATCCCTTGCACTATAACACAGTATAATACTTGTGACATGTTTTGCAGCCTAAACGTAAAAAACATTAAATATAGCATTGGCTTTGGCACACAGCTCTGTGCGTTAAATCCTAATGCAAGGGATTAATAGTTTAATGTCAACAAGTTATAAACATTCAAGCAAAGACAGAACTTATAATTATGCCATTAATACCTAAAGTATCTTTGAGCGGGTGATGTTCCCAAAGATGTTTGTGGTGGTGATAAAGCTTGAAGGTCGTGCGGTGTGACTCCTTGCTCTGCGTTGAAGCGTTTGTACAGTTGTTTATCATTTCCTGCCATCTTACAAGAATAACTTTCAATCCTATAACAAAAGATATTAATATTTTCTAATGATACATTGAAATGATATTTAGTTTGGCACATACCTTCCAATTATCTTGCTATCTCCGGTCTTAATGAACAAGGCACTGTTTATAGCTTCAAATCGTGTACTCTCTAGCAATTTCATTATGACAGCACTGGTTTTCTTTGTTATGTAAAAACAGTGATTTTGTACTAGAGACTTATTGTGCACCTCTCAACACAGCACGACGTTAGATCATTCGTACTGTATCATCATCTCAACGTGATGAATTTTCTGTTATATCAAACTTGATTTACTTTTCAATAACTCAATCAAGTAATTCAATATAAACGAAATGTCAAAAAACTTATATGATTTCGAAGACTTATTGAGTTTCTGTTCATGTTTCTCAGGTGTATGAAAATTCCTTTCCTTTTTGAATGTACGAAATTAATTGTAGAAGTAATAATTTTTCTTTCGGCACTGAACTTGTACATCACAAATCACTGATGAAAGACCGGACTTAAGTTCCTTTTATAGATTTTAATTAAGGATTGAACTTCTTTTCCAAGAGACCAGTAGATAAAACGTAGTAGAACCTTACTTCTTTTTCCCGTATATGCGTATTGGAAGAATAGGATAAAGACAGTTAGTTGTTTATAGACGCCAATTGATTGTCCCAGAGGGGAAATTATCTTTTGCGTTTTATTTTAATTAATAAAGCGTAGAAACGCGAAGGTAATGAAAAAAAGTGTAAATCGAGGTGGAGTCAAATGGTATTCACCAAATTGCCTTAAAGAAACAGAGATAAAACTTCATACGTCCGTTATTGTTGAAAACAATCCATAATCACGGACATTGTTGTCACTGAGTGGTCAAATAATCACGATCACCGTCAAATATAATCACTGTATATTCTCTACAACAAACAAATTTATTAATATATACTTTATATATATATGTGTCACTTTTTAATAGGAATATTATTGCTTAGAAACGAAATTTAATTTGATATACATAAGTACGCAAGAAAATAAATGTATACGCTACGTGACAGAAATAGCTTATGAAGCGCTGCAGCCTCTTTTCCCCCTTCGTTGTTCTGATTGGCTGATGATTCTTGCTTTTAACCTATGCATACGCACATATATGTCATATATATAGAGTGTGGTGTGCCTACATGTATTCATTTATTTATCAATGTCTCTCTTTCTTTCCTTTTATCCTTTCAACCTTCTTTTTCTTATTCTTCTTATTTTAAACATTCGAGGTTTCCTCTCCTTCTCCTCCTCCTCTTCTTCCTCCTCCAACATTTTACTTCGCGCCAATTTCTCGCCAAACATTATTCTATACAGATATTGACGTAAAGGTGTTTATTTACATACTCGACACACACACACACACGCGCGCACGATTATAAAATCATTTACTTACATAGAAAACAGATCGAACAGTCTATTATAAATTAGATTATTTTGTTTACTTTATCTATTCTATCCTTAAAAAAAAACATATTTAAATAAAATTTCAATGTATTTGATATTTAATAAAATTGAAGAAATTCATTAGATACTTCAAATTGCATACTCCAAAAGATCTTATTGATTACAAATAATTTATATTTTTTTAATATTTGGAAAAATAGTACATGCATTGAAAACGACATAAATGAAATATTACGATTTATAAATTATTTTTTTTTCTAACAAAAATATATATTCTCTTTTCGCAAACATATGTATAGTATACATAAGAGAAACTTGAACAATACATTCCTACTATATATGTATATCAAGTGATATAGCAAATAATGGCAATGATACCGATAACAAATAATAACAAACAGGGGACAATAATACTGAAATGATTGTTTAATAAGTATGATTTGACAAACTAGAGTTATGAGACTCAGTACTGTAAATATGAATGATATATGGAGGAAACATATTGTGACGTCCCAGAAGGGGATATCGAGGAACAAGAACAATTCTAAAGATTATTTTCTCCGATCCGGCCACGCTACCAGCGTTTACTCGTCTAAGAGAATGAGTGCCCTATTTTGGATCAGTCTGTGGAGCCAGTACTTTACCCGGGATCTGGGCTGAGAAAGTGAAACCTATTAAGCGAGTAAGAGATAGTGGTTTACCCAATATTACTATTGCCTTAAGGTGTTTAAGAATCCCCGAAAGATAGTCTTTCTTTGGCGTTGATCGTCAGATTTCGGAAACTCTTCGAATCCTTTGGTGTCCAGTGCTGTGTCGATAGGATACTGGATTCGCATATGATGATGAACTTAGTTCGGTTCTTGCACAAGCACTTCCAAATTTATGAAATAACAGTATATTCTTAAATAAGGTTTAAATTACACAGATTTTGCAAATAGTAAATTTAAAATAAAACGCTAATGTGGCTGAGTTAGTAAATTTAAGTTAAGTGCGAATACTAAGTAATTAATAGATTAAGTAGATTACAGATAACAAAATAAGACTAAGAACAATTTCTATTTGCGAACTCTTAAGAAATATGAGGTAGACTAATTTTTAATGTGTGTGGTAGACTGCCGGCAGGGAAGAACACAGTTTTTCCCGCCGGGCCCAATTCGGAAAGGTGGGAACACCTCCCACTTGCGCAAAATGCTTCCTCCACCATCCACTTCGATTCGGTATTCTACTAATTTTGTGATATGACATGCTGCTGATTATGATTCCACGAACTGGATAAATATCAGTTACTATCAACCGTGGATCCTGCGAATTAAGAAAAATATCCTTTTTCATTTAAACAAATATCAGTTACGGTTACCCGTGAATTCTACAAACGACATGCGCGTTCTATCTTTGAAGCGTAATCTCAACAATAGTCAGCAGGAAAATGGGTACTGTAGGATTGCAAAAGTTTAGTATCACTTACTTATTCACGATCATGAACGACCATTGATTCTTGCTATTCTATTTACAATATATACTAACGAATGCCAATGTCGATGGTCGTTCATGAGAGTGTTTATAAAATAGAATTAAGAATACAAATATACTTATGTGTAAAGAAAACCATAATGTACAAAATATTACGAAATACGAATACAGCTAAAGTTGTAATTAACAAATGACTTATCAGTAGGATATTCGTATAATTAGCATAGCAAAGTTCGAAGTTAGTCGTCACTGGGACGTGACAATATAATGGTAGCACCTGGAAAAATAATTTCTTTTAGATTACTCTTATTGTGTATTTCACTTGTATTCTACAATCATTGAGTGATTTTGTAATTATAAATAATTCTGTTGAGAAGAATGTTATATTATATTACATTATATTAGGTTGGGTAATAAGTTCATAACGTTTTTATTTTTTTTTTTAAACGATTTTTTTGCTGGTTGACAAAGTGTATAATATTCATTTGATAGAGCTCTTACTGCTCTACAAAATTGTGCTAATCGTCTTTTTGAGTAATTTATTTTTTTATTATTTTTGAGGCTTAGAAATGGAATATCCAAGAGGTATAAAGAAACATTTATGATTCTGCTCTTTTCCGCTTTACATCGAGACCCAAAAGCTGCTGAAGCAGTCCCGTACATTTGCAACGTATACGGAGAAGGTGTCATAGGCGAGTCTATGGCATGGAAATGGTTTGCAAAATTCAAAAATGGCGGTTTTGACGTCGATGACATGTCCTGCAGCGGAAGATCTTCTGAATTCGACGAAGAGTGCACCTCAACGCACTTTTATAGGAGAACGGTCACCAAAAAAGTCGTAAATTGGCCGAAAAAATGAACTGCGATCATAAAACGATTCTCAATCATCTTCATTCAATGGGATTTGCCTAAAAATTGGGAGCCTGGGTGCCTCACGAGCTTAAAGAAAACAACAAAGAAAATAGGCGAATACATAAAATAAAAGTATATAATATATGCATATGTAGTTGTATAATTTTAGGTGCAATAAACAATTATAATAGATACAGTAATAGTTATTTATATACATTATTTACATATATAAATTTAAATGCATTATATTTCAAGCAGTCGCAAAAACCTTAAAGGCCTTGGGATACTGGTTTTTCTTTTTCTTTTTATCCAATTTTTCATATAAATAATTGAAATTCTAATATGTATTTTTAAAATGTATGTTTATCAATTAAAAATTTTTTATCCGCATAAATATGTAAGTAAATATTAAAAACGTGATTTAATAAAAAAACAAAAGAAAAAAATTAAATGAATTGAAAGACTACCAATAGAAAAAAAAATGTAATCAATATACATAGTTACATAATTTTTCATTTTTTATTGCATTACTATTACATTAACTCTGGACGTAAAAAGAAAGTTTATTTAAATTAAAGAGAGTCATTTTGAAATGTACGATTATTTCAATATGTCATGTTTAGATGATAAAACTGCGCTTAGATTAAATATAAAAGGTAAATATGTTGATGCAAGATTAGTGCCACAAGTTATGCTATAATAATATTTCTATTTAATATATTTTACCATAGTAAACAGTGAAAATTTATTACCAGTTCCACAAAAATACAATGTTGGATCATTAAGGTAAATTACATAAATTTATAACTTATTTTAAATATTTTTTAACAAAGTTTGAACACAATGAATTTAAATCAAATAACCGTTATATCAATTAAGATTACCCGAAGATCCATCATGGCCAAAAATTCCACAACGTAAATTAGTAGATAATGCAGATGACATTATTCATCCTCCATATATTATTACATTAACAGGTACACCAAGGAAAAGTCGTTCTACAGTACGTACACCGCAATGTCAGTAAGTGATATTCTAAATAACCTCATAGAAATGTTAATATTACTTCGTTTTTAAGAAGTAATAAATAAATGTGAAAGAAATTCTTCTTAAATTACAGATCATTCAAAACAATGGAAATGAAAGATCTAAACTTTTCCGTCTATCAAAAACCACTTAATACAATGAAAAGAAAACCTAGTTCTTTGGATCCTCGTTTTAAGCGGTAAATATTTTACAATATACAAAATGGATGTTTTATACATAAAAAATAATTGATTAAAATATAGTATTTATTATTTTATATAGTGTGACTACAGTTAAAAATCAGACTATACCAACACAGTCTAATAAACAATATAATAATTCGAAAGAATCACAGCAGACTACTTCTATTTTAGAAAAATCACAACTTCCCTGCGAAACGACGAAAAAAGCTGCTTCTGAGAAAAATTTAAACATGTACAGTTTATTTAATAAGAAATATTTAAGTTTAATTGTGCAATTATAAATTTCACAATATAGACTTTACGACATTTAAAATAAATATTTTATATATAGTCAACAGATAATACAAGAAAATACCAAGAAGCCAGAAAATGAAGAAGTAATTAAGTATAATAATAATAATTTTAAACAAGAACTTTTAAATGGAGAATTACTTCAAAAAAGTAATGCGGAAGATAACAACACACTGGAGTGTAAAGCTAACATAGCAAAGGATCATAATACTAATAATTTAATAAATATAAATAGTACAAGTATAATAGATTCTGTAGATATTAAAGAAAATATTGATCCCAGCTCAGAAAATAATAAAAATATCATAGAAAAAGAAATATCTATGGGTGAACAAATATCAACCTCTATCTGTAATGAAAAACAAATATTAGAAACTAAAACAAACAATGATTTAAAAGGGTTACCAGGAAATCAATCATTACAATCTGCCAATGTATGTATTTTTACATATTAGATATTTATACAATTACAGTATCTTATTAACCATTTTGATAAATTTTGTTCATACATATATTAGGTTATGAATAAATATTTAAGCATTTTAATTTAGCTAAATTTGTCTTTCTTTAGGAGTCTGATGGTCCAATCTTACTTGTAATGAAGAAAAAAGTACATCCTTTACCCGTTGACAAAATATATGCAACACAATGTTACAATGTACAAGTACCAGTAATTACATATCAAAATGTACCCTTAAAAATATCGACTTATCAATCGGGAGAGATTAATATTTCCCCTTGTATTGCAAGTACTTTGCCAATAAGTGACTTATGTACAACTACACAATTTCAAGTAAAAGATACAAACGTTCATACATCGTCGTATGAAAAACAAAATTTGGATAATTTACAAAAAAAAAATGAAGTAGTAGATACTGGAAAAAATGATACTATACATATTCGAGATAAGCAGAAAAATCTTATTTTAGAGAATAAAACGGAGGACAGATTTTCAGAGCAGTCCACAGTTGAAGAAAATTATTACGATACTTCTTCTTTACCAAATAATAATAAAATTCTAATTTCTGCTAGTAATAATAATACTTATAATTGTTCTAACGATTATTTGAAAGTTATATCGCATCAACGACCAACAGAAAATAATGATTCGGGTGCTTATACATCTATTAAAATTTCAAATTTAAAAAAATATAATTTTAGTAAACAACGGAAAATGAAGTCTGAAGAAAATTTGTCGCTAAAAAAAAATACATATAGTAAAAAACTCTTTCAATCTTCGGAACCACATATTACATCGAGGCGAAAACGAATAAGAGCTAATTTTTCTAAAAGAGCCAGATCTTACTTTCAAAAAAAGTCTAAATCCAGAGTAGTAAATTCTAATTGTACTTTAACACAGTCGAGTTATCAACAAACAAACTATAAATATGATCCAAGATTTTTGAAAATTGAACAATATACGAAAGATAAAAATTGTCATTTCTTAATGTTAAAGAAACCTATTCATGAAAGAAATAAGGATAAAAATATGGATTGCATTAAGATGGAATCTTCGGTTGAAAATCCAACTATCTCTAGCAATGTCTTTTGTCAGCAAAATAAGGAGAATAAATATAATAGTTTAGAAAGATTGGATAAAAATAACTCTATTGAAAATCCTGTAAGAATACCTCTTAAAACTCAAGAATTATTAAATAAAAGTTATCTGGAATACTATAATAAATTAAAACAAAATTCAGGCAACATGGAAAATGTACGACAAAAGTATTTTCATAAAGTAGCGTTAGACGCTCCTTATGTTAAAAAAAGAAAAAGTAAACTATTCTATAATAATATTTATAACGATCGAACTAAATTTAATCCAGAAATACAAACGATAGAACAATGTTCAGCTCTATCGAGTATAATTAATAAAAATCTGTAAGTTTTGACATCGTATGTATATAGAAATAAACACAGAGACCTACGTATTTATAATTCAATAATATTTAGGGATTCCACTATACAACATATGAGCGATACAACACAAACAAAACAATTATATGTTAATAGAAATATCAGATCATCTCCAGATCCTAAAAGAGGAATTCAAATTAAAACGATACAAAATGTAGCTTCTAAGATACCTGCAGATATTTATGAAAATTCTATTACGTCGTCTACGTTTGTAGATAAAATTAAACATAAGAAAGAGAAGTGTATCGAAAAAAGATTTCTTAAATTAAAAACTATCCGTAAGTGTATAAAATATATAAGATAGATTTTAAAGAAAATTTCTAAAATATATTTTATTTCAGTATTTTTTGGCACCATAATGTATGCCCTTGTTGTATTTTTACCTATGATCTATGATTACTTCTTTTACGAAGATTATGATGATTACCAGGATTTGACGTATATCGAATTTATAGTAGATTATACGATTTCGTCTTTTAAGGAAGCTTTTAGTAGTTTTTTTAATACATTTTATAGAATCTTTTTTCAGCCGGTAAGACTTAACAAGAAATATTAATTTTCAAGAATGTTTATAAAATATATAAAGGAAACATTTTTCCCTTTCGGGCTTTGTAGCTACTAGAATTTTATAATAATATATATACAGTAAATAAATTTCTGTAGATTTTTGTAATTTTCAGCAGCGTGCCTGTAAGAAATGTAACGGCATATCTTAACTTGTTGCTAGCGATTATTTCATTACATACAAAATGAAAGATGAAAAGTATTTTTTGATATACATATATTATTTATTATTTTTATATAGAGAAATTATTTTTTACATCTATAATAAAAAATTTTCTTAGTTTTTTATATAAACATTCTATAATATAAATGTAAATAAATTAGATCTAATTTAAATTCCCAATTAAAGGGTTTAAGAAATCTAAAAAGAAAAAGAAAGTAGGTCTTGTGAAAGATTATACTGTTAATATTTATATAAAAAATAAAACAAAGTATATTTTCAATAAAAATGCAAAATTTTTTTTATACAGAATTATATTATTATACAGAACCTATAACAATTATTTTTTAATTTTAGCATATCATTGGTTCCCAACTTTTTTTACTATCTCCTGCCTAACAATAAGCATCTTTTACATATAATTTTTATTGTTAGGAAAGCGAATTCCTACTCACGCGGTAGAAACCAAAAATACTATTAACTTGCCCCGTTTTCCAATTACAGCACTAAAGCGTATTATGCGGGCATAATGCTCAACGTTGAATGTTTCAACTAGAGCATCGCATCGCACAATCGAGCACTGTAAAAAGTGTTGCTCTCGAGTGATGCGTGCAATCGATACCAACTCAGTAGCAGAAAATAACCAAGTGTTTCTTCTTTAAGTTGGCATTGATCGAAATTTTAGTTATATTATCGTTAGCAGCGATCCCATTTGTACGATAATTATCGTACGCGTACGATAATTTGAGGGCATGTACGATCCAAAATTCGTGGCGTACGATCCATTTGGAATTTC